ACACACACACACACACACACACACACACACAATAGCTAAGGGTGTCTCTTTGTGCATGTATGTGTCAGTGCAGTGTTTTATTGTGTCATTTACAGTCTCCCAGTTGGAGGGTGCGTCTGTCTCTCCCCTGAATGCATCATTTGCCACCTATAACTGGCCCAGACGACACACACGTCTGAATACAAATGGCCTCTAACTGCATCCCTGTCTCCCTCTCCAGAGTTTTACCAGATTCGGATGGAGCACATTCGGATGGAGAGATCAGAGAAATGCTCATTGGGCGACAGATAACCCCTCACACACAAGTTTTGGGTTTGTGGTCACTCTTGTCAAATCTGGCAGAACTCACAATTTGCTGTGATGTGTGGAAGCAGCTGTCAGTGATGATGTCCTCCAGTAAATCTTGGTCTAAAAAAACCCAGAATACATTGCTGTTAATGGAAAGGGATCGTCGTCCGATTTCCGACACCATCCCAGACGTTCTGTATGGGGTTATGCTGAAAAATCACAGCAACATTCACCAGATTTGGCTCCAAAACTTAAAAGTGATGGATGTTCTGGTGAAACGTTGTCGTTATTTTCTTTACAATCGTCACTCCATACAATTGAGGTAAATGTAGTGTTGTTTTTTGACAATTTAATTCAGCAGACATCTCATTCCACTGAGTATTTTATGTGTTGATATCTCAGTCTGATTCTTATGATTTTGTTTATGTCTGTCGTTACTTTGTTCTCATAAATATTTTATCTCATCTTCTCTCTTTTACTGCATTTGTGATGCGCTATATCAATAAATCTGACTCGACTCGACTGTGTGTGAATTCATGTTTGTGCAACATGAGAGGGTTCCTCAGTCCTGGAGCATTTGGCTTTAATTCTTCAACCAATAACTTATCCTCAAGAAGAAATGACATACAGCCGGACATAGTATTATTTAGTAAAGTTGATATAGCTAACATGTTAGCAGTCATTGAGCATTAGCATTACTTTGGAGTCAAGTTTCCACATCAATAATTTAGCCCCTGTCGTCTTTTTATTCTTATAGATGTGGTTTGGTCTCAACTCTTTCGCTGTCACATTCTCGAACATTTTTTATTAAATTTCCCGCAAAACATGTGGACATTATCTGTGCCATGATTTATTAAAAGGACAGGATCTGTAGGTGGCGCTATGCACCTTGGAGAAGTGAGAAGTAGACAGAGGATTAGCAGCTTTACCAGAGTTATGGACTAAAACTAAACAGGCAAGAGTTAATTTTTGTTTTTTGCTTTTTTTCGGCTGCTGGTCCAGTGAGTGTTGGGTTGAAGTAGCTTTGTGGACATTATCCAGTTTGTGTGTCCACATGTTGATTTAGTTATGTGGTGTTTTGAATTACACATGTGCAAACACGTGCAAAACTGTGTGTGTGGTTCCTGTATTTTGGGTGTGTGAACTTGCATGCGTGTGTCTTATCTCCTCCTGCACAGACCCTTGCACTTCCAGCACCAGTAATTTGCAGTCATGTAAAAAAGAAATGTACGACTATATACTATTTAATCTGCAGTCTGCAGTTGAAGCTACTATTCAGAAGTGAATATTGGAGTTGACACATGCTGCAGCTCCAGTGCTATTCATTATAGAGATAAGGCCGCTTTATACGAGGTGGGTGAGGTCTGCAGAGGTAGCAGTCGAGGAGTGCAAATTAATTTCCCTCTGACTTTATGTTTAACCATCAGTCCGTCCTCTCTTAGTGTGTGTGTGGTTCCACGTTAGTCTGAAAACCAACATTAAACCCTCAGACAATAAGAGCGACTGCAAGAGTTCATGCGGAGCGGTCGTACATTTGAGCGTGTTGAAGGCGAGCTGGTAGGCCCGTCTCAGTGTGGGTTTGTCTCCGCTCTCGGGCAGTGGTGTGTCTGTTTTCTCCCCATAACGCAGCGGCTGAAGTGGGACTGGCTTCTCCTCACGCAGCTGCTGGAAGATGGCGGACGCCTGCAGATAGGCCTGATCTGATGGAGGGGAGACTGCGGAGGGGTGAGGGAAAAGATGAAGGAAAAGCAGGGAAGAGAAGAAATTGGAGGGGATGAAATAACAGATGATTATGGAAAACACACCAGGAAGTTAAACAGATAAGTTACAGTCCATGCACTGGGAAGTAAAAGTGTTTATTGATACTGAGGTGTAGGGTCTCCACACTTTCCTAAACAGAACGGTCACGTGCTGTAGATGGTGGACAGGTGGTCTTTTTCACAGCAGACATGTTGACACATCATAGATGGAAAAGCACTCGTGTAATCAATATTAACATTGGTTTATACAGGACCATTGTACAGTGCCAGTAAGCCATGGTGTCAGTGTGACAGTGAGCCAACGTGCACAATACAGGGAGCAGGAAACTGAACCTGCTCAGTGAAATGCAGACCTTATTGTGCCCGTTCTTCTGAGGCCCCAAAATCTCTTCTCTTCCTGCTTTAGCAGCCACGTTTCTCTACCTCTGCACTGCACATCTCAACAAGTCCCTTCAAAATTCCTATTATTCGAAATAATAATAGAAAAATAAATATTAAAATATTCAACATTTTTATGATATTTTTATCTGAAATGAATAGACAGGACATTGACAAGGATTGAGTGGGAGAAGGGGAAAATAATTTAATTCTCCTTACACATATTTTTTTTACCAGAATGTACATAGGCTTGTTTCACACAACTACAGAACAGAATCACATACAGTGTTTTGCTCCACGAGCTTTAAGGTGAAAAGATTACCTTCCAACTACCCCATAGACTGCAATACAAATTAAGAATATTTTTTTCATAGTAAAACTGAAACAAAATGTTTTTCACATTTTTGACACCAGGAAGTCAACAGTGAACAAATTTCAAAACTAGGAGTTGGTTTTTGACTTCAGAAGACGTCACAGTGACTTACATTCATTTCCTGGAGATTCTGACCAATTTCAGCCCCTTCTCACTCAAGACAAGTTCATCTACACCTTCATACAAATGGATTTGGTAAAAACACAGTTTAGTGTCACTTTTCAAAAAGCCTGCAATCACATCGCAGTTTCCTCAGTAACTGAATTTATTTGCACTTACACATATATTCTGTGGAAAATGCCTGATTGGTTGCTACATGAAAGTAAAAAGGCTGAAATTTTAACTTTGGGATAAAGTTTAAAAATCTGGATGTTCCCTTTGTTTCTTTTCTTTCAGCTTCGTCTGGTACATTCAGCTCAGTTATTACTGTTACCTGAGCCTTGTCTTTCTTTTCACAATAAAAGCCCCTAGCCATTGTTCATTCTTCTATAACCCTGTGATTGATCATTCAGAAATCACACTTTTACTGCCTCTTTAATGAAAGTTAAAATATGAAAAAACAATATTCACTTATAGAAAAGCGTGTTGAATATTCAGTATAAAATATTGAGAGATTGAGGATTGTATTTTACCTGGTGAAGGTAAAGATGACTGAAGATGAGGGAGGGGGAGTAGGAATGAGAGGGTCTCCTTGTTGGTCTGCTTGTCGGGGTCTTGATGTGAGATCTGCTCTGTCACAGAGCTTGAAATGACATCTTCACTGGAGCCCACTGTAACAGAGTGTGTGTATGAGTTTGTGTGTGGGCTGCTTCATCAATGTTGTGTAGAAAAACTATGACATAGGCTTTGTCTTTTTTGCATTTTCTGTCCATCATTCCCATTCTTGTGTGCATCATATCTCAAGAACACCTTGAGGGAATATATTGTTCTTTGGTACAAATGTTCAGTTGGCCGAAATGTTCCTGTAAATGTAAATAAGGCACATGATATCAGTCATGGCCGACACGTGAACCACCACCCAGCCTCTCTGAATGTGAGACAGTGCGGCTTTAAGCCACTGTGGGTAATTGGGCTCCTCCTGGTGCAATTAGGTAGCTGCTCAGATACATCAGCATGAATAAATAACAGGCTGCTGTCCGACCCTGGACAAAGGTCCAGCTCTCACTGACCTGGACCAGACACACACACACACACACACACACACACACACGATGTCAGTTTTCTGTGACATCACTTGACTTGAGGATTAACATGCTAAAGTTAAGTTTTCAGGGACCACCAGTCTCTAATTAAAGTGGATTAATGGAGAGAAACACAGACAGAGAGTAATCGGCTTTAACAGCACTCATCAATGCTTGAGCTCCAAGTTTCAGGATTGACCAGAAATGTGCAACGTGTCCAATAAAGCCAATGCGAGAGGAAATGGAATAAATGAATGAATATCAAACAGCAGTGATTTAATGAGTGACAGGCAGTTTCCTGTCGTCCACATGCAGGAGCAACTTTAAGTCCACTTTAGAGGAGCAGCGCTGGAAGAAAAGACTACAGCAGCTTAGTGTAATCTGCATACAGGATGATGGGCTGTTTAAAAATGCATAGCAGCTCTTACCTTTGTCATTCACAATCCTCCTCGAGGGAACAACACTGCTCATTTTCACAAAGAAACGTGGCTCCAGCAAATATCCTCACTCTCAAAGTGTTTCCCTGCTGTTCACTGGGTGCCACACTGTCACGTTCGGCCTTTTATACTCTCATCTCCTCTCCGTCATGTCAGGGGTTTTGTTCAGGTGCGTGCTCCAGAGTCCTGAGTTTGAAACACCATGGCAACAATATGATAATGAAGGAGGCCTTTCCTTATACAGTGTAATACATTATGTGTGGGTATACAACTCTGATTATTTATAATTTACTATCATGTGTTATCTGTGTTATAAGACTGACAACTTTAATAGACTGGTTTCTCTTTTAGGTTTGGATCCATTAAAAGATAAAAATGACTCAGCTGCTCACCTGCTCTGACAGGTGATTTAAAAATAAATAATGATACATGTGTGTGTGCATGTTTGTTTGTGTGTGTGTGTGTGTGTGTATGTTTCTGTAATGTGTTGAGGACTTTATATATACAGTTACATGTATGGCTCTTCATGAGTGAGGCATCACAGGAGAATCTGTTTGACACTGCCCCCTACTTACCACTGTGGTGTAGTACAGCACACAGTACAGAGGATGGATGGATGGATGGATAGATGATAGATGATAGATGATAGATGATAGATAGATAGATAGATAGATAGATAGATAGATAGATAGATAGATAGATAGATAGATAGATAGATAGATAGATAGATATTTCCAGGCAAATTATTGCAATGTGCTGTATCAAGAAAACTACCTCGCCTTGCCGACAAAATGTGTCAATGTTAAAATATAAGTGGACACAAATTAGTTTCCTATGTTTAAATCAAGAATAGTGTTTTGCAGAGATCATTCTTGACAAATAATTGCTGTCACTTTCACAATCAACATTTTAACTAAAACTATAAAAGTTTCAGTCTAACATTCAATGTTCATTAGCTAGATTAGAATATTATTCAGACATTAAATAATTTTCTTTAGGCATTTATGGTCATAAATAGTGAAACAATCTCACCCGTCTGTCTCTTGTCTTTAAGAAAAGTACTCATACTTAATACCTGGCTGGTATCTCCTGTAAACCTCCCACCTCCTTTTATACTGATGCCACAAATAAAATAGTGTAATGTCTGTTTTAGACCAACAGAGGGAAACAGATTCCTGAGTTTGTCATAGTTACAGTGCAGCCCTATTCCTGCAGTGTGTTAGTGTGTTATCAGTTTTAAAGCCACTTCCTGCTGTTTAATTTGAGTATTAAGAGTCTATGAACGTTAATGAACCTTCATCTTTCCTCTCCTGGTTTAAAAAACAGCAAGACAGATGAAGACGTTCTCTCATTCAGCAGTACGGGACCAGAAAAATAGATTTTTGTCATTCAGTACTTGATAAGCTGCACAAGTTGCTAGAAAACAAGGATGGGGTTTATCAGTATGTGGGGGAAAAAACACATAGTGAGCTGTTTGGGCCTCGCTTCTCCGCGGGGTGAGAGTGCAGCTGGAGAGATTATCCCATCCAACACGCGTCATCAATGTCGCCTCACAACAGGGCTCCAGTTGCTCTGCATGTGTTGCGTTTGTGTGTGTAGCAGCATATTCAATAATCGCCCACGGTTGGAGATGGCGGGTCATGAGGCCGTAAGCCGACCTGGAATTTTCTCAATAAAGGTCTAATCTGAACGGAAGGCTGGAAGGAGGTTCTCTCTTTCTCTTTGTTTAGTTTGTTCCTCTTTAATTTAGTTTATCTTAACACTCACACTTTTATTACTCAATGATATTTATTCATACACAGTATTCCCACTTATCTTTTCTGTGTGTGTGTGTGTATGTGTATGTGTGTGTGTGTGTGTGTGTGTGTGTGTGTGTTGTCTACTTGAATGACCCTGAGTTGAGTTACATCGAGTAAGGGCCTACACTCTATTGCCAAAAGTATGTGGACACTGTGACATTACATCTGTATTTGGGTGTTAAACCTCTGATAACAGAACAATGGGCCGTAACAGCCTCTACTTCTCTGTGAAGACTTTCCACCAAATATAAAGAGCATTAAAGTTGAGCAATAAGTCCTGGCTCACAGAGCTCAAGCTCAAGGTTTCAAAGACTGGGTAAATGTAGAGGTCGAAGAAGAATCCCATGAGTCATATATGGGACTTTGTGGCTGTTTAGATTTATGTTAATATGATGGGGTATATTTGCTTTTGATTGTCGACATAATGTTTTATTAACTGGCCTTCTTGATAATCTTTAAGTCCTTATTTTTTCTATTCGTCATTCTGTTTTTTCATACTCCAGGTTGATAGAACTCTACTTGTTGCCATGTTCCAACCCTGTCTTAAAAATCTGAAAAAAAGAAAAACTGTTAAAAGGCTAAAACGCTAAGATGAAAAGATGAGTGTATGATGATTCCCCCAAAAATTCCCAGGCACTAAAAACATGCGGACAGGGTTGTTTACAGGGGTGTAACTTGGTGATAATCATTGCAACATCGCAGCCAGTGGTTTTATAAGTACGATATGATAGCGAGAGAGAGAGAGAGAGAGAGAGAGAGAGAGAGATGAAACTATGTATCAGACCGACATTCAAATAACACCAAGATCCACAGCGAGGCCACACACACACACACACACACACACACACACACGTATCATAGATCCAGTTCACCACCAGATACAATAGTAATATGATCTAAGTTTTCTTCCGTCCTCAGTTTGTGTGATGGATTGATTGGATCCACTTGTTGCAGGTGAATAGACACACCGCTGCAGCTCTTTGTGTGTCAGTGTCGGGCAGTCGCAGTATCAGTTTGAACTGTTTTCCTGGGAATCTCTGCTCTGTGTGTCTCAGGTCTCTCCGTCTATTGTGTGTTAACCAGGGCAGGGTCCGAGCCACTTATTGTGGAGAGAGTTTGCTTTTGTGGACACCCTGTGAAAACGCAGTATGAGCATGTGTACAAGTCTCTGTTAATGAAACGCTCACGAAGCCGCTACTAAAGGACAAGTACGGTTTATTAAGATTTAGACTTAAAATTCAAAAATTGTTTGGGGGAAATATTCATTCAATGTTGTTCTGAGAGATACATAATAAGACTAATACAACTCTTATGTCTGTGAGATAATATGAAATCAGTCCCAACATCGGGGGGACATGAGGTTAATTTTAGGATGAAGATTGGAGGCACAGTGGAAACAGCTGGTCTGAGTAGTTTCCTGCATCTATTAAAAAAAATGATAGGCATTCTGGGAAATGCACTTTTGGCGTTCTTGCTGGAAATCCTGATTATACTGTGATATCACCACCATTTCTGTAAGGTTGACAAATGTGGACTCCAGGAAATGAATGTGCCAGAAATAATCTGACAACATAACCCACAATACCTCCTTGATATACGGTACCCACATTTTGCATGGATTGATCTAGGTAGATAAAACTAATCAATTGCTCGTGTGTGTGTGTGTTTGAATTGAAGACAGTCAGGCGGTTTACCCATTCATTGTTCATTCATTCATTCATTCATTATTGTCACCACTGGAGCCGATCCCAGCTGACACTGGGCAAGAGGTTGATCTTTCCCCATGATCTGGCTGCCATGTTTCAACAAACTAATAGTTGCTGTAGTAGTTGTAGCTGCGGTGCAACAGTCTTTAAATTCAATCAAGTTGCACCAACATGTACATATAGATATCAGTCTTTTAACAAGATCCATTATTCACTGGAACATCTGTGAAAATGTAAAAAAAAACACCCAAATCACAGAGTTAAAGAAAGTGAAAACAAATCCTGTATCCACCTGTTTTTCATGATTCACACTAAAGTTTAAGAGGTTCTTTCTTCATCCTTTCACCATGAAAGTCTTTTCAGTAGTTTTTGTGTTAGGCAAGCAAAAGACAACAACAGACCAATGGACAGGGATGTGAACAATGTAATGACTGCAGTTATTGTTTAAATTCCTTAATTGCTAATTGAACTGGGTTAGGGTTAGTTTTTCTGCCTCCTGATGAACTTTGTATCTTTAGTGTTGATATCATACTCTGCTTGTATATAGAAACTCTAGCCATAAAACCATGATACAAATTTGAACAATCTTGCCCTGCCCATTAAATAAAACCACCCTTATCTCCATAACTCCATGAGTTTGTGAATGATCCCTCCCTGCATTGTTCCATGATCCAGGTTCAACAGGAAACTAAATATAAAGAAACATGCTGCATGACTGTATATTAACTGATTTCAATCTGATCTACTTTTGATATTGAGAAAGCGGGAGAGTAATGTTTATGCTTTTAAATCAAAATTGTAAATGCAAGCAATGGAATCTAAAATAAACAGAAATCTTGTCACTGGTTTATTTGGTTCAGACAAGCTCTGACAGAAGTTATTATATATTACAATGAACTAATGTTAGGGACCAAACACATCCTAACCACTGATTACAGCTCCAGATGTTTAAGCACCAAACTGGAGTTCCACATATTTTACACTTTGTTTATCTCATAATAATCTTATTACACTGTCACTTGTATTTCTGTATTTGATGGAGAGACCTTTAAAGTGTTGTTCTGTATTAACATGCAACAATAACATCACTTAAAACGAGTTTTCACTCTGATGAATTAGCAAACCGGAGCAAGTCTGTGCAAGTGGATTCTCACAGTGTAAACCAATAACTGAAAACCAGCAGCAGTAAACAGACGGGAAAACACAGACATAAAACACTGTGTAACTGCAGCAGCAATAATTAAATCTGGTTTATTCTAAATGAGCTGAAACACTGGGTGATGTTGTGATGAACATGTAAATACACTAAGCTGTATCTGCCTAAACACTGCGGCTCTGATAATGATGACTAAACCCCAGTGAGCCGCTCCCACCTGTGACATTAAAGAGAAACTTGTTCTATGACACATTTTCATCGTTAAAGGTCATGTGTTAACTGTGCAGCTGATCTACCTGATGGTACAATTACAGAAACTTATGGGAATGTTTTCTGTGCTTCTGTATTTGCACTTTATTCAAAGCTTGATTTGTAAAATAAGCATTAAAGTCAAACATATTGAGCAACACATCCAACCGCTCCGGCCTCCTCCCTGCCAGAGTTCAGCCGCTGTGTCGAAACGTTATTTCTCTGTGTGAACACGTCTGACTCAATCTCAGTTTCCTATATACACACACACACACAC